CATCGCAGAAACAGTGCGAATCTACCAGTAGGAATCACAATTATAATCTTAGGACTCGAATCTCTAAGGAAGTCGATAAATTCAACAATCTGTTCAATTTTGCTATCAGTTCAAAGGAAAAAGACCCGATTGTTGATCATGCACTAGTGAATGAAATTTCTAAAATAACTTATGAGAAAAAAGATATTGATCGGTCGCATGACAAGGCTCAATTAAACGAAGAACTTTATGAGGAGGCTAAGTCGAGCAATGAATCAACGTCGAGGGAAAATGAAGATATCGCCATTATTCTAACGTCAGAGCCTTCGAAAGTCGTCGACATCCAAATCGAAAGTATAGCTCGGACCTCTAAATCCGGTGATGTCTACTTGACTACGCAAGAAAGCGTGAACGAATCCAGGACAAATACAGAATATGATAAAAGTACAGAATGCGATAAAACAGTCAACAATGAGGAGAGATGTAAAAATAATCGAGTACCGAGCAACAAGCGATCAATCGAATCTCCAAAGGTTGACAACGTGAATGACGACGATATCGCGTCGCAACAAGTGTTCGACGCTACATCTGCTGTTGATTCACAATCAGATACAAAGGAGTCAAATGCGAAGGTGGTTTTCTGCTCCATTCTGAAAGACGAAGTCGAAGAGGCCGATCTGGACGGAAATGTCAGGAGTTCCTCACGGAAGTCATTGAAAAGACGTTCCGTTGATGAATCTCAAGCTAATCCTAACGATGAACCAGAGCGGAAAAGATTGAGATCCGATTCTGACTGGATGAAGCAGTATGAGACGACATTCGTCTTCGGTCCGTTTGACATAGCGCGAACTGTAACTACTGTTTCCGCCGACACATTTACGATTAGTGATAGTAGAGTACCACAATTGAGACCAAGGCGCTCGTGCGAGACGGAGAGGAGTATCTTCACTATAAGTCCCAGGAGAGATTAATTTTACAGTAAGTGAATGTACTTGTAAACATCCTTGCTGTAAATGTATTCTTTGGAAAAAGGAACAAGACAACAATTGTAATATTATAATTATCTTACATTGTTGTGTTGAAAAATGATACATCTCAAAATTAGCAACTTTTCAGTAGAGCATTTTTCAAATTCTTTCTAAATTTTAGAACGTTTTAATTAAGATAATGATATAACTTTATTTTCTTTTCATATGTTATATTTTTAATTATCATATATATGTATTCTTTAAAATTATATTATGAGTTATATTATTTTTCAAAATTCGACCATTACAGCCTTAATATAAGATTGTGTATATTTCGTTCCTTATTAGAATTGTGATATTTTTCCATATAAGCAATGTATCGACAAATAACGTGCGTTTTATCACAAAAATATATTAGTTTCTTTGTAAGTCAATTTTTATATTTTCTAAATATTAATTTTTTATTTATGTCAAATTTCTATCAATGCAACATATATAAAATATTTTGAAATTTTATAATGAAGATATAAAAAGCAATAAGTGATAATTTGATGATCAACATTTTCATTTTTTTTTGTATTCTATCTTATTTTTATTTTTTTTCTGCTGCTTTGATAGAAATAAGTACAAAAACTAATATAGTCTTCTTAAATTTACAGAGAGAAAAAGAAATGATGAATCTTGGAGAAATATAAAAATCAACGGAGGATCATGTGCAATCAAATATCTAATTATATTTACAGTAAGCAAGTTTAAAAAACGATAAAAATTAATGTCGTTATAAATCTTCCACATAATGTTTCTTGTCAATGAACGTACTCACAAAAAAAGGTGATAATTTAATTAATTACGATCAATAATGGATCAATTATTACTACGAAATAAACGCTTAAACAAAAAGAAACTTTCTACAAATTATTATTGCAAGACATAATACAATGCCCTATGTATACAGAGGAAGAAAGAATTCTCTTGGGATAAATTCATTTTCTCGCAATATACTATTGAGTAAACAATATGAAACTTACAATTAGAGTTCGAAGGTAATAGTTTTCCCGGTAATTCGCGAAATCACGTCCTCACCCACGTGGAAAATTATATCGCCCCGAATCAATTTAGACTTGGAGCTCTATTGTGCACTTCCGCCGGATGCAATTTCCCCGGGTCGCGTTTCCGTACGAAACAAAGTTGCGCTGTCGTCCAAAGATTCGTAACAGGCTTGGGAGGATGCGATTCCCAGACGACATTCCCAACCTTTGAATAATACGACTGTAATACGATTTGTACACCTGGCGCGCATCGCTGCATGTAAGCAATGCTGAAGGATTAATAGCGTGTCGTCATAGAGGGTCGCAATAATTCACAGTCAGGAAGCATTATGATGAGAGGAGATATTATGATTAAAGGGATAGATTACTTTAGATTATAATAAAGGAAAGAAGATTGATTTGAAATTTAAAATTATTCAATTTTACAGATAAAAAACATTTAGTTAATGCTGCACAGAAAATACTTTATATTATTAGATTAAAAAAGGAAATTCGGCAATACATATAGATTAAGAATACACATAAAACGAAGTCCTTTGTTCTGTATTTCAATATGTCGGCACTTAGTTTCAATTATTAATTACATTATCTGCTAAATAATTATCTGCATAATGCAGTAAAAACATTCATTTATCTGTTAACTTTTTCGGATATAATTATTTTATTTAAAAAAGACTTCCCTTCGCCAAATTATCATTTTAAAAAACAAAAAAATTATATAGACGAAAGGATTGCATTCTAAAATGCGTTAATTAGAATTGACCTTTTCAACTTAGGACAAGACTTAGGCTGAAGAAGGGTATAGATCCATCATCGCCTTGGATTTTTTGTGATATTGTTCAGACCATATATGAATGTCTGTATGTATATTCATTATTCAGTACTTTGTAGTGCACGTATGCTTGCATGAAGACACTTAATGTGCTTGCTTCTAACTGCAGACATCATTACACACAGTATATGGGCGAGATGCAATTTATCATCGTGCAACTTAGCAACCGTCGTCGTCGTGCTCAACATAATCGATTTCCGTTGCCGTATTCATTCAAGGATATGAGCACCGTAGATCACGAGTTTTCTCAAGTTAAAGTGCACTTTGGACGATTTATAATTTGTAATAATATACCACTTTATGCTATATACAATACATCTAAAGCAATTAAAAAATTAAAATATACATAAAATTGCGATTTTAAGAAGTCCTAAAATTTTTAAAGATTCATAAATGCAAAAATCCAGTTTCTCAAAAATCAGTAGAAATAGGAAATTAAGAAAAGGACAGTCTCTGGAGTATGTTATATTTGTCTCTGTAAATTGTAATTTTATTAATTTTCGGTTTTTACTTGCTTTTCGATTTTTAATTTACACGCAATCAATTTCATGTGAACTGATTACGTTGACACAGTTTGACCGTTAATTCAATCTATGAACACCATGTACATCTATATTAATTCTGACTTTGGAACATTGATTTTAATTAATTGACTCTATTTCTCGCGAGTAACCGAAGAATTCTTTCAAAAATTGAACTTCATTGACATACTTTGGTTTCACGACTGTTAAGTAAGGAGCATTATGGTGTATTTTTACAACAAAATGAAAGATTATAACAGAAAATGAAATGAAGTTCTCATAACTATTGCAATATTTTATTAAGATATAGAAAGTTAATTGAATTTATACACGACTGAGGAGGGCTAAGTAAAGCTCGAAACGTTCTGTAAAAATGTCATCGTAGAAAAATAAAATATATTTTTGTTTATCGGTCATTTTAACATTGCTCGTTTAATATAACAGACCTTATATTTTAATTTGTTATTGCTTAGGAAAAGAACATAAATAAAAGTCCATTAAAATTTTAAACATTAAAATTTTAAAAACAATTTCCAATTTTTTTTATTTGTTATTTTCTTTCTTTTTCGTATGTGCATTATATTATACCTAAGATTATAACCTGGAAAGATATGAGATTCTTTAATTATTACTATAATTAGGTTGTTAAAGAGAAAGGAATCGACAGTTAATCTTCGAGTTTCATTGTCGAGAGGAATTCTCGCTTTTTAACCTCTCCATGCGTTTCCTCGTAACAGAATAAATATAATAAATATAATCCATATTATGTCAAAGATATACATATATATTATAATAAAATATAATAAAATTTTGATATTATCAAATTTGTATTATATATGTATAACATAAACATTTTTATTGCCTTGTACTATTAATATTGTTACAAATAATAATACGCAGTTCTATTCGTATTTTAATATTTTAAGTACTTTTGTATTTTCTATATAGTTTTCATTTATGATACAATTCTAACGTATTGGAACATCAATCATACCCCAAGGAGCAAATGTATCTCACGAACACATATAAGTATGAACACATATAAAGTGTGCGATCTGATTCTGGAAATATATCTGACAAAGTATTTTATATTGCTGAGATCGAGTCCAAATGTACGATAAAACCATATCTCTCTATGCTTTTCTAGCTTTATTTGAGAGAAAGACACCTGCAATCTCCAATTCTTTCTTTAGTGTTCACTTTTCTCAATAAAGATCAGATCATATTACTCAAAACAAAACGAAAATTTCTCATTACTTATCATAAATACAAAATTTTATAAATTTGCAAAATAAACCGTGTAACATTATCTCATGTCCTTGAATTTCATTTATTGCAATGTAAATTAAAATGAACGATTTTCACCATTGCGAAATTTGATGTTTGGATGCCTATAAAATAAATAACTTTAAGGCAAACATAACATCAACTTATCCAGCAATCCAAAAATATATTGTATTTGTTCAAATATTTATTCAAATTTTTTCAATTTTGTAAATTTCAATAATATTTATTTTAATTACATCAATCAATAATAATATCTATCAAATAACAATTTACACAATGATTTACATTTTTTTGATATGCAAGTACAAAGCCTAACGATTAAAAAATTTTCAGATATTAAAATAATTTTTTATTCAAGAAGGAATGTATTTATTGTATAATCAAGATTTTATTAAAAAAGAATAGCAAATACTTATTAATGTAGTAATTTGCTGAGGTAGGAACACATGCAGACTTATTAACATTTTTTTCAGTCACCTAGTAATTCTATACTATGATATTGAACGTCTTGAATAACAGACAATGTTTTTTGTAATATTTCAGCATGCACTGCTGATTCGTCTTGATCAGCGTTTATAATAACCCAAGTGTCGTCTCTTAATTTTTCATAATTAGCATTGACACGCTGTTGAAATTCGTCATGCTCAAACCTTTCCTTCCCCCAGTCACCACGCAGTTCTTGCTGTTGTTTAGATACCTTGAGAAACACTACACAGTCCGGCTTTGGAAGACCTAAATCAGCCTGCTGACACCAGCTAAGACTTCTGCCGGTGTTAGCTGCTGTATACACAGTGCCAGAAGCTGCGTATCTGTCTATCACTAGAGTAGTACCGGATCGAAGCGTCTTCTCCATATCCTCCTTACACTCCCAGCGATTAGCAGAAAACAATAAGTGAGCAGCCTCTGGTGGCATATTTATCTCTTTTGATAAGAAACTATTTAAAATAGTTCCAACAGGAGTCTTTCTATCTACAAAAGAAATATTTCTTCAAATACACAAAGTCTGAACTTATAATTTTTATTAGACAAAGATTTCTGGATTATGAATAACTTTATTCATTGACGTAATTAAGTCTATTATGAAATTAATTTATTATTATCAATTGTCCATTTTTTTAAACAACACTATACAATTTATTGAGTTTGCGTGCCAATCACTCCACATTCATAACAACAGGAAATGTAATGATATTAACAACGCAATAAATGTAACAATAACAAAACGATAACATTCCAAATTATAAAAATATTCTTCATAAATTATTATTTTTCGACATTATTATTATGTTTTGTTGATAAATTCTGAATTTTCGTTGATTTATATTTACAATAGAAAGATCTTTCCCGCGCAAAATAACCTAATTTCACGACACGCGGTTTACTGCAACTCACTTGGAAATGCCCGGGCCTTCGCAGGGATCCGCAGATCGTTCAACGCATTCATCAGCATCTTCACTTGGGTCGATTTACCTGCCCGATCACAACCTTCTAAAACTATCAACGCACCGCGTTTATACATATTCAAATATTAAATGATCACGATCGCAAGAACTGACGACGACGCTAGTGGTTGGACGATACCAGCTGATGCTAAATATAGATGCTAAATATAGATACATAGACTAGTTTCTCTCTTGCCCTTTAAATGATTTCGAATCTTCCTCTTTTGCATACTATGTCCATCTAGCGGCAGAAAAGAATAAAGATATTGGTCGGATGATAACTGTATGTCCATACATAATCATATTTGACAAGAGTAAAGAGCCTACAATCAAACGTCATACGGGTATCACTTGTGATTGGCCATGTTTTAGCCATTCCCTCCAGTTTTTAAACGCATTATTTTCTAAATTTTAAATTCATGCTCAAAAATTATGACAAATTAAAAAATGATAATAAATAAATATTCTATATAAAATAATAAAATTTTACATATATTATTTATTATAAAATTTCATTTATTTTGTACTATTGCAATATTGTACATTTTGTAATATTGCACATTACTTTATACAAAACGTTATTTATTTGCCCTATTAAATGCGCTAGTTTATTATTCATTCTCTGTTCCCACATTTTAGGAGCAAAATGGATCTGTAATAATATAAAAGGAATAAAATTTCAGAAAAATATTATATATGTATATACCATTTCATAAAATATTATATATTAAATATCGTAATTATCGTATTATTTGATTTAGACTCATAATGCAATGATATATAATTGAAAAGATTACGACAAAAAGAGAACGAATTAAATTCGTAACCAATTTGATGACTATACATATACTTAGTGCCAAGTAATTACCGTGTCTTCAGATATTATAATTAATCTGTGTATATTTTATGTTACATTTTTATTTTAATATTTTAAATACATTA